TAACATTAAGTAAAAATTATAACTATAAAATATAAATTTAAAATTTTAATAAAAAATCTAAAATAAATTTTAAATTTTAACTTACGGATTTACCTTTCTTGCAGGCAACATTGCCCCGTTGTTCTGGACACTTGTCTGTCTGTTTGGGTTTTTAAAATGATTTCCAAAGTACTAGTTGTTAACCACTTTCTTTTCCACGAAGGAGTTCCGAGGATAACAAGGTAAATTCAGTTGCTTTCATTTCTACGTGCGACGTATACGGCGAGTACTTTGCTTATTGTACCAATGCGACTGGGGTTTTAGTAAGTTGAAATTTTAATTCCTTAGAAAAAGTTAAAAATAGGCTCTTCCCCCTCCACTAGGACAGCCGAAATAGGAGACAGACGTAGACGCAACGAAACCAGATTTCGAAGTTCTTGTTTTACTTTTCTCCCTTACTAGAACTACTATTATTAATAGTACTTCACTTCCGTCCAAGTCCAACTGTCATTTTATAAAGTTTAAAATATTAATTTAATCCTTTAACTTTTAGATATATATCAAAATTATTTTGAAATTTAAAAAAATAAAACTGTTTTTAAATTTTAATTTTTGATATTAAAATAATGTTTCTATTAATGAAAGTACTACACAATTCGTTATTTTATCACAAAATTAATTTTTTTAAAATATTAATTATATATAAAATTAAACAGTTATATTTTATTATTATAATTAATTTTTAATTATATATTAGATTGATATGTAATTAAAGTTAAATGATTAATTAGTACTTATAATCAAAATTGAAGCTCTAAGTATGTCTTTAAAATTCAAGGACTAAATTGGTATTGAATTAAAATTTAAGGATTATTTTGATATAAAAAATTAAAATCGAGGGACAAATTTGATATTTTTAAAGTTTACTGACAATTTTTGAAATAAATTTGAAAGGTAAGGGACCAAATGGTATTTTAACCTTTTATAAATCTGAGGCTTAAATGAGGATCCCATGAAATTTGAGGGCCTATACTGCGACTTTTCCATTTTTGTACAGTAGTCTTTGATGGCTCGTGAACCCACACCAAACACCATGCTCACCCTTCACGTTCATGAAATGAAGTGTGGTGGGTTGGTTTAATTGAACCAAATTGTCGGTGGAAATATTGACACGTTAGGATGGAGGGTTTTGGAGAGAGAGAGAGAGAGAGAGAGAGAGAGAGAGAAATGGTCATCTCCTTCCCCGGGTATTCAAACACCCATTTCCTTTCCTTTTTCATTATTCATCTACGTAGATTGAGTTTTTAGAAGTATACATTTCTCCGAGACAAGTACAACGCATGTTTTTATTATAATCATTTTTGTTATGGTCAACAAAACACTTTGTTAGATAATTTGTTAAATAATTATTTTTCGTTGAGTTTGGTAGTTGATTATGACATCATCATCTTAATATATATATATTTTAAACATTGGTTTAAATTTAAATTGTTAGATGAAAATAAATTTTTTAATATTGATGTTGTTTTCGATCAAGTTCCTATTTTATAAAATAAAATTTTTATAAATAATGATATATAAATATCTTATTTATATAAATTTTATTTACAATTTTAACATATAATTAAATAAGTAAATAAGTACACATCTTAAGATTCCGAAGATTTAAAAGTACAAATGATTAAATGACTTATAATATGGTATAAAAAGTTATACAATCATTTTCCTATTTTCATTAAATTTAGTCACTCATAGGACCCAATTGAATTTGATCTTGAAAGATTAGGGACAATCTAAAACAAACGAGAAATGATATTCAAACTTGGTACCAAACTCGGTACTTCACAATGCAATTTTCCATTTTAGATGAAACAGTACTGCAAAATATACCAAACGTAGACAAAAAAGTATTACTTTTATGAAAGATTGAATTTAAAATTTTGGCCAAAACAGGTTAAGAAATTTAAAATCTCACAGTTGACCCAAAAGCGACGGTACGCGTGAGGCTTCTTCTTTTTGTCTCCTCTGCTTCTCTCTGTTTTCACTCGTTTCCGTCGCTGGCGCAGTAGAATAGCGCCTTTCACAGTCCTCCATTTGCCCACAGTCCTTGACCGCACCTTCCTTCCTTTCCTTCTTTCATCTCCTTCCTCGATCTCCGCACAAAACCAACATTTCCTCACATCTTATTCACATGATTCTTTCTTTCCTTTCTCCTCCCTTTTCCTTCCTCCCACGTCTTTTGATTCTCTCATCATCCATTCCTTTTTGAGCAGAATCATTTTTACTTTACGTCAAGACATGTAGATGATAGCTACGCAGAAACAACCATTTCTCTTCCCCCTTTTGCCATTTCTCTGCTGGTTGTGCTGCTCCGTCTCCGTCTAGTCCTTCTCTTGCTTCTTGCATTATTGTAACGCGTTTTTTATGTAGATTCGTGCTCTGCTAGTGCCACATTGTGCATTTATTTTATTTTTATTATTACAAGTTGTAGAGCTTCTTTTTTTTTTTTTTTTGGTATTTGCTTCATGAATTTTCTGGGGCCTTTGGGATTCTGCTTTGTGGAGTTTTTGTGGAAAGGATGACTTGAGCGTCCTTGGAGTTGCAGGGTTTTGTTCAGCAAAGGATTTTCTTTTGGGATTGTTTTGCTGTTTCAGTGTTGTGTTGTTGGGTGGAGCCGTGGAGAAATGAATGAAACGGCGGGGAAGACAGCGTCATGTTTGGCTGTAACGGAGAAGAAGGCTCATAGGCCAGGTGGGTGTGTCGGCATTTTCTTTAAGCTTTTTGATTGGAACCGAAGATTTGCAAAGAAGAAGATCTTCTCTAGGAAATTACTTCCTCCAGGTTACTTCTCTCTTTCACATTACATGTACCTATTTGCATTTTGTGTGTGTGTGTGTGTGTGTATTTTATAGTTGCTATGCCTATTTGTTCTATTTGAGCAAGAAAGTTGATTCCTTTTCTGCATTGTCTTAGTTCGTGCAAAAGCTTCAAAGAAGTTTGAAGGAGATGAGAAGATGCCCAAATCCAAACCTCATTTGGTATGTTCTGTTCCTTTGGGGCTTCAAAGTTCTAGCCTTTTCCCTGTATTTTGTCTCACTTCGTTGAATTAGCTTCTTATTTTGCATGGTGTCATGTTTATGTATGGAAATGTTAGATTGCTGACGAGAACAGTGGGGGTTTCCCAAATGTGAGAAAGAATGGTAAGCATGGTGGTGGAGATTCGGAGCAAAAGCATGAGACGCGAGCTCCGAGTTTGGTTGCTAGGTTAATGGGCCTTGAATCTATGCCGGCTGTGCATAGAGATAAATCTAAGAAAGCTACAATACCTGGTGATGATGCTAGGGTTGAGAATTTGGTTAGTAGTCCGGCCAGGTATGAAGGGGATGATTTGATGTTGGAGAAAGAAAACGCAAAAGTTGAACCAAGGCCTCAGAAGATGCAGAAGACTGGGCAATTGGAGAGGCATGCAGTGACTAGGTTTGGTGCAGAGGCATTGCAAATTAAGGGTGTTTTTTCACGTTCAAGGAAGCATCATCATAGTCCAAAACTTGCTGCTCCTGTCAAAAGTCCAAGGATTTCATCTGCAAGGAATGCAGCTAGGACCTCTAGGCTGATTGATGCTGCTACTAAAATTTTGGAGCCTGGATTGCAGGCTACTAACAAGGCAAAATGTGCCCTTACTTACTCAAGCTTGACCCCTTATGTTGCTAATAATGGGGTTAGGGGTGATGGAATGGAGCCTGTCCCCTCAGCTGTATTGAAACAATCTGGTTATAACATGAGCTCAGGTAATTCTTTGATGGGGCAGATGTCTTGCAAGACTTGTGGTAATTTGCTTGAGGATGTCGGCACCAGACCAAATTTGGAGGACCAGCAGCATGTTTGTCCACAATTTTCATTGGATTTAGTTGATGCCTATCCCCAGGAATTGCAGAAGGGTAAGCCACGGCCAGTTGTACCCTCTATTGACCACGGTAGAGGTGCAACTTTTCAGAGAAGTCAAGAGTGGTCAGAATCTGTTGCTTCCAAAGAAGTGGACAGTTTACAAACTAGCAGTGAATCCAATGTAGATGGGAAAACTCTACCCCAAGAGGGTCAAAATCAGTGGCCTCTATCAAGTCATCAGAGCAATTGTCAAAGGGATGAACAATTTCCTGTTGCTTTCAAACACCAGACAGAAACACCAAATCATATTGCATTGGGCAGGGATAAGGTTTTCCCAAGTCCTAAATTTAGTAATGTTCGAGGGAGGAGGGCCTCTTCTGTTGCAGATAGTGTTGGTGGGACAAAGAATTTTGTCGCTATGAACAAAAGTGTAAGAAATCATACTAAACGGTCTAAACCAAAGGTGGCAACCAAAGTAGAAGATTCCCTTTTTGACACAGATAAAAGGTCTTGTAACCAAAAAGATGATTCTTCGTCACAGCCAAGAAGTTCAGTTCGGAAGAGGAGAACAAGTATGAATGGTCAAGCAGATAGTTCAGGTTTTGCAACTTCAGCATATGGAAGACAGAGTAATGCAAGGTGTAATGCAACGACTGGAAATGGAACAGGGACTGGTACTTCCTTGACAAACAGGGTATGTCTCAAGACCAGATTAGCCAGCAAGGGTGCAGATACTGGTACGAATGGCAATAAGGATACTGGTGTTATTTCATTTACATTTAATTCTCCCCTGAGGCAAAAGACCAGGAATTTCATGGAAAAAGAGGGTGAAGGATGTGATCAACATGACATTATTCATAGCCATGATTCCTACCAGAGAAAGCTGATATCAGATGAAAATAATGCAAAGGCAATTTTGCAGGAACCTATCAAGACATTGACAGGAGATCATTTAAGTATTCTTTTAGAGCAAAAATTGAAGGAGTTAACCTATCAAGAAGAGGATGACTTGACAACAGGAAGTACTCTACCAAAGAGATCAACTGCAATGATCCTCCAAGACCTCATCACTGCTTTAACTGCTCCTCAGGATGTTCCTCTAACCAGTCCAGATCCAGGTTTCAAGGTTGGTTTTTTTACTTCCTCCTTTCTTTTTTTCTTGTTTTTTTTGTCATCGGCAACTGACAATCATTTTCCCTTTTTGTGTTTGGTGTTCCTAATGAAATATGAAAGCTTTTGTACATTAATTGTTTGCATAGGGGGTCAGTGATTATTATTTTTTTGGATAGGACAGGGCAAGTGGTTCAACCTGTGGGGGAAGGGGGTGGGGAGGGGGGTTACATAGGTTCAAATCCTTGCCAACGGGTGAGGAAGCCTTTTACATTTAGATATTTGGCCAGTGGGCCTCAAGGCCTTCCTTTTCAGTGATTTTTTTTTTTTTTTATAGTTTCAGGTCATACGGTAAGGTGTAAGCAAGATTTCTACTATTAAATGGGTAATATGAAAAATATGGCTTGAAGATGATTGGAAGCAACAGTTTATAATATTCTATAATCTATATGTTTAGTGACTTTGCATACTTGGTTTTGCTTCATCTGTAGTAAATTCATTTATGTCAATTAAAGAACTCACTATATTTCAATGTACTTTTCCTTTGAGAAAGCAATTCTTTATGATTCCTATGATTTTTTTTTTCAGTCCCAAGCCATGGCGGAAGGAATTTCAGTCGGATTTTCATGCTATGGTGATCATCTTAGCCCAGGTTCTGTTCTTGAAGCTTCATTTTCAAATGACAGCTGTGTTTCCAGTAGCCTGGATGATAGCTCAGGTAAATAATTTGAAATTGCTCCTCATAACTGTCCATTAATTTCTCTCCATGAAGGAAAATGAATACTCAGTAGAGAATTCAGAGTAAGCTCTGACATGAGTATGACATGAACTAGATCAATTTATTTGTCCCATCCTTTTCGCCTTCACTGAAGAGATTGAGAAATCCCACTTAGCTCACTAACATGTTTGGCTGTGATTTCAGGTTACAGGCTCCATCTTGACTCTATGGATTACTCAAATAACTATCCACAGCCAACAGATCCCGATGTAGACCTTGTTCATTCTGCAACTACTCTGGACAAAGGGATGGCTGTTAGTGGCATGGTGATTGATCTTCTAAACAAAATTTCTAGGACATTGTGTAGCATCAACCATGCTGGTCTTAGATTATCTGGAAAAAAGCTTATCTATGTAAAGGAGGTCATCTTAAATGCAGAACTATTGTTTGGAAATCTGCCTCTTTTTGATTCAGATTGCAAGGAAGATTTGCTCTTAGGTCCGTTTCTACATGAGGAAATGGAACCACCATCTGAAGCCAAATGGACAGAATTCAGTTCCCTTCTTGGTTTTGAGAAGAGCAAAGACAATAATCAGCTCAAGGGATTTCTTTTTGACTGTGCAGTTGAATGTCTAGATACTAGATATGGCCGATACTGCAACCTTGGATTCAAAGCTTGGAGAAGTCTGCCATTACACACGAACTCAAAGATGTTAACGCCAGAGATTGAGGAAGAGATTAGAAGGTGGACACAGTTTGTTGGAATGGTCCCGGATGAGTTAATTGAGTGGGAGATGAGTCATTCTCTGGGAAAATGGACAGATTTTGATATTGAAGCGTTTGAAACAGGTATAGAGATTGACTCACACATATTGCAAATTTTGCTGGAGGAAGTAGCAGTTGATCTTTGGGAGGGCTAGCCACTTTCCAGTGGATTGCATTCAGGCCCTGAGAATTTCCTAGCTTATTTTTGCAAATCATGCTAACTTGCCACGGCAGTTTATCCTCCTTATCCAAGAAAGGTCTAGTGAGTGCTTCTTTTTTTTTCTTTGTACAAATGGATGGTTGGTATAATGGTATTTGCTTCCAGGGGCTATTGAATTTTGTAGATGAGCATTGTAACTAATCAGTCCTTCGTCAGTAGCCTGAAATGATGTTTACATATTATTAATGGTAACCCAAAAAAGTTGAGACGTGAAATTTCCTTCATTTTCCCCATACAAAGATTTGTTACAATTCACAAGAAATCCTCACAATGGTTTCAAACAAATGGCATGCTTTTGTAATATGATTGACCCTGAATGGGCTTTTTATTTTTTTATTCTAGATCTATATATATTTACTTATTTATTAAAAAAATTAAAACATCTTGATATTTAAAATATTAAATTTTTTTATAAAATTATTTAAATATTTTTAATAAAATTTTTACATATTAATTTATTAAAAATATTTAAATAATTTTATAAAATTTTTAACATTTTAATTATTAATGAGTAATAATAGGCGGGATGACGCTGGAGGACGAAATTAAGGGACGACAAGTATTGTAGGGGTTAAATTAGTAATTACATCACATGCATAAATCTTCTTAATACTTGTCGTCCCTCGATTTCGTCCACCGGTGTCGTCCTGCCTATCATTACTCATTATTAATACATTTTAATTTTTCACCATTTCATTATTAATATATGTATTTACTTATTTATTAATAGTAACATTACTCCACATTATGATTATATTATTACTTATAAAATCATTATCATTTAATTAAAATTTAATTTCTTAAAAAGTCAATAAAAATACCTCATAAATTCTTTAATCTTAAAATAAATGTTCTGCCTTTAATCTAATTGAAGAGATCCCTCTTTTACCTGAGACATGACCCCTAAACCAAAAAAACAAAATTATTATCATGTCATATGCGAATTTGTTAATAAATTTTTTCAACAAACCATTTCATTCCTTAAAACATGATTACATCCATGGCGTTTTACAATGTATCTTGGAAAAACATACAATCTCTCTAGCAAAGGAAAAGTAATCAAATCTCCAAGAAAACAAATCGAATCAAGAAAAAGTGGGAAAGAAATTCGAAACATTCTATGAGAAGGAAAGTAAACTTAGGTAGAATTGAAGAACAATTCAAAATTGTCTGTACCCCAACACGGTTTTTTTGGTTCCACCCATTCTCATAGTCCTTCCTCCCCTGTTTTCGCCATTAATGGCATTGGCTGCCGCTGAAGAAATCCCCTTCAATTCCTCAACACAAGCATAACTCTTTCTCGCCATCGCCAGCCCCTTCTTCTCCCCGGCATTCGCCGACTTACTCCCTCTCGAATTCGATAACACCCCTCTCACCTTCGACCAGTTCTTCGACGGAGGTGTCAATTCAAGCGCACCAGTCGCCGGCTTCCGATTCTCTTTTCTCAAAGCCGCAGAGAAATCCGGCACCGATTGCGCCAGAATTGATGACCCTTTTCGGGAATTCCCCAAATCAGGACTAAATTTGACTTGTTTCTTTGATGGGGTTTCTTTCAACTCCAGTGCTTCCCATTCTTGTAGTCTCGCGTTCTTCATTCTCAACTTTGATTCTCTCAACTTGGCATACACGCTGTAGCGGGGGCCTCTCTCCATGATGTAACTCTCGGTGGTGAGTCTCAGAGGAACCGGTTGGTGAGGACCAGAGTTCTGAGAAAGAACAAGTGATATCGGGTCAAGAGCATGGAAGAGATCCATGGTCTCCGCCATTGATGAACACCTTGATACTCTGTTTCTCCCCTGTTTTTTCTTCTTCACAAAGATAAAGGAATGGATTTATTCTGTTGCTACTTTCAAGCGGGTTTTGTGCAGATAGGTTATTAAAAAGAGATTTGAGTTTGCAACGGTCTAATAAAAACAGGGGAAAGAGAAAAAGTCTAAAGAAAATTTTTTTTGTTTTTTTGTTTTTTTGTTTTTTTGTTTTCATTTTTACAACGTTCTTATTTAGGTGGGGTCATTTGATAAACCCAAAAAGGTGGGGATCACATTGGATTCTTCTTTCTCAGCCGTTGATTGAAATCATTTGATGAGAATTTAATGGGGTTCCTTAAAAAAAATATTTACAAAAAATAATCTGAATTATTAAAAGGAACCAAACATTACAGTTCATTTTGAAAAGGGTGATCCGATACTTCCACCAGCCGTTGGTTGAGATCATTTGATGAGAATTTAATGGGCCTTTTTGAAAAGTGTGGATCCAAGACTTCTATAGGCTCTTGATTGGGTTTTGGGATGCTTACTTGGGGTAATTGGGTTGTACAGAAGAAAGGAAAGGGTACAAAAAAAAAAAAAAAATTTTGTGTCCTCCTTTGCAAAGGACCTTTATGTTGGATTTTGACAAAAAGTTTGTTGCCAGAGCTGCAATTTGTAGCGTTTACACATGGCTTTACATGGTATTCTGATCAACTTGACAAGACTTTCCCCTTTGGTTTTTCCTTTTCTTTTGATTTTTTTCCAGGACACGATATATAAAATGTTGCTTCATTGAGGACAAAAATGGATGTTGGAGTTAGGAAAGTGTAACAGGATATTTCATCTTTGCACTCATAAGAAATTTCTCCTCTTTTTTTTCTAGTACTAAATCTCCTGGTATTTAGAAGCGTTGAACTTTATAGAGAAAAAACTCTTCCAATACCTATTTCTTCATTCACAATATTTAAATTTGAAATCTTATTTAAATGAAACCAAATTTCATCAACTCAAATTAATAAGTCATTGGTGAGAAATTTTATTTACTACTTACAAAATGTTGTACCTAACTGTCTGTATCCTTTTTCCATGATCATCAAACTTTATGATACTTGTATTTCTGCCCCAAATTAAATCTATTGATATTGTGGCTGAATCCCTTGAGAACTAGGGTCCGCACGGCCTCAACTCCCTGATTTAATGCTGCATCAATCTGTACATATAACCAACCAAAGCAGGTAAATCAAAACTAACCTTTCAGTGGCACGAATTCTTATAATTCTATGGATGAAACCTTCCACCTAAACAGCCTTGAGCATCTCACTATTTACAACTTCATTTCAGTTCTGTTATTACAACACATCTAATGGATAAGCTAGTGAGGATTATACTAATAAGTAGAAGAGGACAACTAAGTATTGTTATTGATAGTTAAACTGTCATCCATGAAAGTACATTGCATTAAACATGTGCTCGGCAAAACACAAAAATAACTAAAAATCATCTTAAACTTGAAAAGGTGTATTAATTTTTACCTGATTTCGCTCCACTGGACTGAACTTCTGTAGAAGATAAGCTTTCATGTCCATAGTCCCAGGTGGATTGCCAATACCTGCAAATGTGAAAATATTTTCAAGTTCTATGGTGAAGTATTGTACAAGGAAATTTATTCCAGATTGTAACATATGGCAGTAAAGAGCTGATGATGATGGTCAAGGAACCCACCTATACACAACCTAGGAAATTCCCGACGACCATCCAAATGTCCCATCACACTCTTCAC